ATATCTCCCCGCGGAGCTATTACCCATCATACCGCGCAGAGTTATGTCGTTTTGGAACGTCATATCTCCGCGCGGAGTTATTTCGTTTTGGAACGTCATTTCTCCCCGCGGAGCTATTTCCATCCGAGCGGAGGGAGTTATGTCGTTTTGGAACGTCATATCTCCGCGCGGAGCTATTTCCATCCGAGCGGAGGGAGTTATGTCGTTTTGGAACGTCATATCTCCGCGCGGAGTTATGTCGTTTTGGAACGTCATATCTCCTCGCGGAGCTATTATCCATCATACCGAGCGGAGTTATGTCGTTTTGGAACGTCATATCTCCGCGCGGAGCTATTATCCATCATACCGCGCGGAGTTATGTCGTTTTGGAACGTCATATCTCCGCGCGGAGTTATGTCGTTTTGGAACGTCATATCTCCCCGCGGAGCTATTTCCATCCGAGCGGAGGGAGTTATGTCGTTTTGGAACGTCATATCTCCCCGCGGAGTTATGTCGTTTTGGAACGTCATATCTCCGCGCGGAGTTATGTCGTTTTGGAACGTCATATCTCCCCGCGGAGCTATTACCCATCATACCGCGCGGAGTTATGTCGTTTTGGAACGTCATATCTCCGCGCGGAGCTATTATCCATCATACCGCGCGGAGTTATGTCGTTTTGGAACGTCACATCTCCCCGCGGAGCTATTATCCATCATACCGCGCGGAGTATGTCGTTTTGGAACGTCATGTCTCCGCGCGGAGTTATGTCGTTTTGGAACGTCATATCTCCTCGCGGAGCTATTATCCATCATACCGAGCGGAGTTATGTCGTTATGGAACGTCATATCTCCCCGCGGAAGTATGTCGTTTTGGAACGTCATATCTCCGCGCGGAGTTATGTCGTTTTGGAACGTCATATCTCCGCGCGGAGCTATTATCCATCATACCGCGCGGAGTTATGTCGTTTTGGAACGTTATATCTCCGCGCGGAGTTATGTCGTTTTGGAACGTCATATCTCCCCGCGGAGTTATGTCGTTTTGGAACGTCATATCTCCGCGCGGAGTTATGTCGTTTTGGAACGTCATATCTCCGCGCGGAGCTATTTCCATCCGAGCGGAGGGAGTTATGTCGTTTTGGAACGTCATATCTGCCCGCGGAGCTGTTTCCATCCGAGCGGAGGGAGTAATGTCGTTTTGGAACGTCATATCTCCGCGCGGAGCTATTATCCATCATACCGCGCGGAGCTATGTCGTTTTGGAATGTCATATCTCCCCGCGGAGCTATTATCCATCTTACCGCGCGGAGTTATGTCGTTTTGGAACGTCATATCTCCCCGCGGAGCTATTATCCATCATACCGCGCGGAGCTATGTCGTTTTGGAATGTCATATCTCCCCGCGGAGCTATTATCCATCATACCGCGCGGAGTTATGTCGTTTTGGAACGTCATATCTCCCCGCGGAGTTATGTCGTTTTGGAACGTCATATCTCCGCGCGGAGTTATGTCGTTTTGGAACGTCATATCTCCCCGCGGAGCTGTTTCCATCCGAGCGGAGGGAGTAATGTCGTTTTGGAACGTCATATCTCCCCGCGGAGCTATTACCCATCATACCGCACGGAGTTATGTCGTTTTGGAACGTCATATCTCCCCGCGGGGCTATTATCCATCATACCGCGCGGAGTTATGTCGTTTTGGAACGTCATATCTCCCCGCGGAGTTATGTCGTTTTGGAACGTCATATCTCCGCGCGGAGCTATTATCCATCATACCGCGCGGAGTTATGTCGTTTTGGAACGTCATATCTCCGCACGGAGTTATGTCGTTTTGGAACATCATATCTCCCCGCGGAGCTAGTATCCATCATACCGCGCGGAGCTATGTCGTTTTGGAACGTCATATCTCCCCGCGGAGCTGTTTCCATCCGAGCGGAGGGAGTAATGTCGTTTTGGAACGTCATATCTCCCCGCGGAGCTATTACCCATCATACCGCACGGAGTTATGTCGTTTTGGAACGTCATATCTCCCCGCGGGGCTATTATCCATCATACCGCGCGGAGTTATGTCGTTTTGGAACGTCATATCTCCGCGCGGAGTTATGTCGTTTTGGAACGTCATATCTCCCCGCGGAGCTATTTCCATCCGAGCGGAGGGAGTAATGTCGTTTTGGAACGTCATATCTCCGCGCGGAGTTATGTCGTTTTGGAACGTCATATCTCCCCGCGGAGCTGTTTCCATTCGAGCGGAGGGAGTAATGTCGTTTTGGAACGTCATATCTCCGCGCGGAGTTATTTCCATCCGAGCGGAGGGAGTTATGTCGTTTTGGAACGTCATATCTCCGCGCGGAGTTATGTCGTTTTGGAACGTCATATCTCCCCGCGGAGCTATTTCCATCCGAGCGGAGGGAGTAATGTCGTTTTGGAACGTCATATCTCCGCGCGGAGTTATGTCGTTTTGGAACGTCATATCTCCCCGCGGAGCTATTTCCATCCGAGCGGAGGGAGTTATGTCGTTTTGGAACGTCATATCTCCCCGCGGAGCTATTTCCATCCGAGCGGAGGGAGTTATGTCGTTTTGGAACGTCATATCTCCCCGCGGAGCTGTTTCCATCCGAGCGGAGGGAGTTATATGTCGTTTTGGAACGTCATATCTCCGATCGGAGTTATGTCGTTTTGGAACGTCATATCTCCTCGCGGAGCTATTATCCATCATACCGCGCGGAGTTATGTCGTTTTGGAACGTCATATCTCCGCGCGGAGTTATGTCGTTTTGGAACGTCATATCTCGCGCGGAGCTATTATCCATCATACCGAGCGGAGTTATGTCGTTTTGGAACGTCATATCTCCCCGCGGGGCTATTATCCATCATACCGCGCGGAGCTATGTCGTTTTGGAACGTCATATCTCCGCGCGGAGCTATTATCCATCATACCGCGCGGAGTTATGTCGTTTTGGAACGTCATATCTCCGCGCGGAGTTATGTCGTTTTGGAACGTCATATCTCCGCGCGGAGTTATGTCGTTTTGGAACGTCATATCTCCGCGCGGAGTTATGTCGTTTTGGAACGTCATATCTCCCCGCGGAGCTATTATCCATCATACCGCGCGGAGTTATGTCGTTTTGGAACGTCATATCTCCCCGCGGAGCTATTATCCATCATACCGCGCGGAGTTATGTCGTTTTGGAACGTCATATCTCCGCGCGGAGCTATTATCCATCATACCGCGCGGAGTTATGTCGTTTTGGAGCGTCATATCTCCCCGCGGAGCTATTTCCATCCGAGCGGAGGGAGTTATGTCGTTTTGGAACGTCATATCTCCCCGCGGAGCTATTTCCATCCGAGCGGAGGGAGTTATGTCGTTTTGGAACGTCATATCTCCCCGCGGAGCTATTTCCATCCGAGCGGAGGGAGTTATGTCGTTTTGGAACGTCATATCTCCCCGCGGAGCTATTACCCATCATACCGCGCAGAGTTATGTCGTTTTGGAACGTCATATCTCCGCGCGGAGTTATGTCGTTTTGGAACGTCATATCTCCGCGCGGAGTTATGTCGTTTTGGAACGTCATATCTCCGCGCGGAGTTATGTCGTTTTGGAACGTCATATCTCCCCGCGGAGCTATTATCCATCATACCGCGCGGAGTTATGTCGTTTTGGAACATCATATCTCCGCGCGGAGCTATTACCCATCATACCGCGCAGAGTTATGTCGTTTTGGAACGTCATATCTCCGCGCGGAGCTATTATCCATCATACCGCGCGGAGTAATGTCGTTTTGGAACGTCATATCTCCGCGTGGAGTTATGTCGTTTTGAAACGTCATATCTCCGCGCGGAGTTATGTCGTTTTGAAACGTCATATCTCCGCGTGGACCTTTCAAATCATACCCTTTTTTTTTTGTCGAAATCGGGGTCGGTTCAAAAATCCTAACTTTTTTCATAATATATTGTCGGATTTTGAAATGATATACCTTTTTGAACTCGTACGTAGCCCTAATATCAATTTGCATTCAAACAAATTAAATATCGATGGGTTAAACAAAGTTGTTCACCAAAAAGCAATTGGTTCTTGTAAAGTCTACTTTTTTGATGATTTTTCGGAGTAGTTCCGCCAAATAATGTCCGATTTTGGAATTTTATACCATTTTGAGCTCGTAAGGATCAGTACTATCGAAATATTGAAAATCCAAAATTTGACCCAAATCGACCAAAAATCAAGGGGTTACATCACGTTTTTTCTCAAACTCGGAGTAGGTTCGAAAATCGTATCTCGATTAAATATTGACGGATTTTATAATGTTTTACCTCAATAGGGAATCAATGAAGTCAAGAATTCAATTATTACATAAAAATTTTTCACAAAAAACGGTTCGGTCATGATTTCAAACTTTTTTGAAACTTTATTCCTAGTCAATTCTATAAAACAGTGTTTCTAGTTGAATCCGTGAGATGAATCATCAAGAAAGTGGTTACGTACCCGGAACTCTCTTGAAATCTTTAAAATTACAATCCAGAATGTTTTCAGCTGAAATAATTTCAAAAAAAAATCTCTCCACCTGCTAAATTTGAGCATTTTTTTTTCTTAATTATACATTTCTATTGAAATAAACAACAATTTTAGTTGCTTTCCTTCCCTATTTCTGGATCCTAACCTAAAACATTTGCTTACTTTGAATTTTATCAAAACCTAACCTTATTCTGGCTTGCAAACTGTACCTTATGCTCCAAACGGGTATGTCAGAGCTGTTGACGTCGCTGTCGCCGCTATTGTCTATTGGCTATTGTCTTTTCCCGTTTGTTTATTTATGCATGTTTTTGTTCGCCTCCTTCACACTCTTGAGTTTGTTGCCATCCGTTTTTTATGGCCATTTCGCTTGCCAATTGTTCGTCAATTCGATAATGTGAACGGTGAAAGGGGGCGGTGGCCGCTGATTTAGTTATTTGCTGTTGTTGTTGCTGTTGTTGTTTCTTTCACCTTGCGCATTTTGGCATGCAACATTCGCGAGGCCCTGGCTCGAGCAGGAATCTAAACAGTTGCCGCTGCGGCCAACATTCGCTGAGTAGCCGTGGTTATAGCCAAGCGTGCGATTCGTGCTAACGCAAAAAAATTAAATAAATAAAAACCGAACTTGACTTGGCTGAACGCAGCGTTTTATCAATAACATGAACTACCTCACTCCGCCGGCCCACAACAGTGGCGTCGGCAGCGGCAGCGGCAGCGGCAGCAATACGCCGCGAATGACCAGTCGGTCGGCTTCGCCGTTTCGCCGCAACCGGGCGAATTCATTGACGCCCACACAGGATACGCCAGATCCATCGCCATTGACCTCGCCGCAGCCGCTGCGCAAGCGTCCGCCACGCCACACGCAGCTAAACGAGATCTTTCGCCCGCGCTGCAACACGGATCCCAGCCGGACCCACAGTAGCAGCAGCAGCAGCAGCAGCAGCAGCAGCAACATTAAAAAGTCAGCGGCGACGCGCAGCGTTTTGGGCTCGCTGCTGCGACAGACGCTGAAAGTGACAACTGCATCGGTGGGCTTCAGCGCCAGCGAGGAGCGGTGAGTGAACAGTTGAGCAGTTGAGCCGAGCTCACAACCATAATGTTTTGTGCGCGGCGAACTGTGCAGATCGCGGCGAATAATTGAGCCATTCTTGTGCTGCGCTCCAATTGGCGCTCATCTTCGCTTTTATGCAAGGTCACCGCACCATATGATTTTCATGTAATTTTTCATTGTTATTTTGTGTGTGGCTGTTGCGCATTGGGAATGCTATTTGTATAACATTTACAAATAATGTACAATTTCGTTTGTTTATCTATCAGCTGGGCACATTTTTTGGCGTGACGGCTGCCCCTCGTTGCCAATTAATTTATTGCATTAGCTTTGCGTTTTGTTTTCGTTAGCTCAATAAACAAATGCACACACACACAGAGAGAGAGAGAGAGAGAGAGGAGAGATTGCTTGTGGCTGGCAGCCGCTAGATGGCGTTGCGCCACTTACATCAGCGCCAGCTAATGAGCTTGACCTTACGCTTGTTCCTTGGCTTTTGTCGTGCGGCTAGAGATGGGCCCCAGCTCTGATCTTGCGCGTCACGCCAATCACGCGACACGAAAATCAATCCAATTGATTATATTGTAATAGTTTGTAGTTCTGTGTGCACTGACGTCACGCGGCCAACATTAACTCGCCTCGATTGCAATTAACAGCAACTAGCTTAACATATTAACATATGGCTAGTTTACATACATAGATATGTATGTAACTACGTCACTTTGATAACACTCGACATGCTTAGAAACGACTCCTGACCAGTGTTGCCAGCTTTTGTGAGCAGTCAAAAAGGCTAGATATATTGGAAAGTCAGTTGAAAACAGTTTTAAAAATAGTTTTTGCTGTTCAGATAAGTTTCATTTATTATAATACATTTAAAATGTGTTGATGTTTTAAAACTAAAATCCGCTAATTCAAGAGTAGCCAGTTTTGAGCCAAAAAAAGCGGCATGGGCAGCACTGTTCCGTACATAATTTTTTTTTTTTTGTGCGCATACAAGCATAAAATGTCATGTGTCCCGTACATGTGAGTTTGTGTGTATGTGTGCATGCGCAGATTGCGTCAAGCAAAAAAACAAAAATCCCCAGAGCTCTCACGTGGCAGTGCGAGTGCGACAAATGCCGGCCCAAAGAATCAGCATCTGTGCAGAACTGGCCATACCTTAACATTACCTACATACATATGTAAACACGTGAGTCCGTGTGTGTGTGTGTGTGTGTGTGTATTGACAAGTAATATTCGCATACGCTCTCTCTTACTCTCTCTCAGTCTGCTGTCATCTGCCTGCTGCTGCTCTTGACAGCAAATGGGGTGATTTGTGTGGCACTCTTTGGCGAATCTTTTCGGTTGGCATAGGCAGCGCTTTAAGCGTTGCACCGATTTTCAATTTAACTCAATGTGCAGCTTACAGGACACGCACACACATGCACACGCAGACGCGTCCAATTCGCCGCGCTCACGCATCATTTGGTGGTGGCTTGCAAGCTCACCGCTGCTGCGCCCGCACAAACCCACCACCACCCAGCGACGTCGCTGCAGGCTAACGGTACTGCTGCTGCTGCTGCTGCTGCGAATGCCGCAGAGACAGAAGAACAGAGCCAGCGACAGCAGCAGCAGCAACGGTCTCAGTTGCCATATTAATTGAGTGCGCAGCGCGTCGTGTCGTCAACGGAACTTCTCCGGTATTATTTGCCAACATTCGCCTCAGCGTCAATAAATAGATACAAATATTCACCAAAATAAAACAAAAAAACAAAAACAAATTACAACAACGATTTACATATGTATTTCGTTTTGTGCAGCAGCTTAGGCAATTGATACAGCAAATTCGCAATTCGCCGCCAGCAGCAGCGGGAGCCCGAGTTAAGGCGCACGCACAATAATCAACAACAACAATTCACAAAAAGTGCAAAAAGTGTTGGGAAAACTTTTACCATACGCAACAGCATGTAAAACTCTTGCGAAAATTTGGCAAAAATCTGTGTGCGAACGCAAAATCAAGGTGAGCACGCCCCCTAGCGGCAATTGCTGTGTGTATATGTGTCTGTCTGTGTGTGTGTGTGTGTGTGTGCGAGTCGGCACAGGCGTGTGCGTTGAGTAGGTTGGCTGCTCGCTGAATTCGCTCAAACAAAAATGTTTGCTCTCACTTTTCGCCGTGTTTGTTTTGTTCGGTTCTTTCATGCTGCAGCAGCACCAAAGAGAGAGAGAGAGAGAGAGAGCGAGAGACACACACACACAGACGCATTTCGGGGCTTCCTTTTGATTGTGTAATTGCGAGTTATGGAAGTGGAAAGCATAACCTTTGGCTTATGCCTGAGTCTGTGTCAAGGCTTGCTGGTGGGTGGGGGCATACCGTTAATTACCCAGGCCACGAGCTGCATTAACAAAAGTGTGACCATGCCAACATATTTACCATATACGCATACCAACTATCGTAACTCGGAAAGTACAAGAGATATTTTGCTGAAATTTTCTATGTGACTTTGTGGCATATAATTAGATGTGTCTGTCAAAGTTAGCCTGAATTGGGCACGTAAATATGGTAGATAATTGATTGTAACTATTGATTTTGATTGACAACTGTTTGCAATTTTTTTTTTTACAGATTAACACAACTTGCCACAACTGGTTCGCTGAGCGACAATGCGAAACGGAAGCATTCCAGGTGAGTCCATATACAATATGACAAACAAATCGAACAGATGCCAATTTATGCGATACTTGACCTTTGACATCAAATCTTTACCAATAATACGTTAAGTAAATGGAGCGGAAGTTTCCAGTTTTGGATTTCAATTAGAAAGTCCAGTTCGTGAACTAAATTTGAAGCTTTCTTGAATTCTATTTTTATAAAATGTAAACAAAAATATTGCCTAGATTAATAATACGAACGGAATTTTTGGTCGTATACTTTCGGCAGGCAATGGGCGTGATCTCTGGCCCGATCTATGAACTCCTCAGCAGCGATTTCCGCATGTCGCAGTATATAATCTGACATGGATTCAGAATTGAGCTAGAGCGCAGCCTCAAGTTGAACGACCTTATCGCCCCTTATAGACTTGGGATTACAGATTATATATGGTGCGAGAGGGGGGGGAGAGAACTAGTTGTTGATAATCAGGCGTATCTATCGGGCGCATTGTTTGACTAAGTGTCGTGCTCTGATTTATTAGACCAGCCATATCGATATACTATATATATATATATACTATATATATTCTATATATATCTGACTACGTCAATTGCAGCGTCAGAGAGCGAGATGTTTTGATTAAAACTCTTTTGTCTTCGCATAGTCGTGACTGATAGCACGATCGCATCTCTTCGCAAATGTATTTCACTTGTGCTCCGATGCCTTATACTATATAGAAATATATATATATGTACTTTGTTTATGGTCCGCAGTTTTGGGGAATTGTGTCAAAATATTTGGTTGCGCATACAATTTAATTTGTTTCTCAGTATTTGGATGGTCTTCACGCCTAGGCAGAAATCCTAATCTGGATTTAGACACGAACAATTCTCATCTGAGATTCAATATAATATAGCTTCCCAGACGGGCCCTAATGATAATCCTGTGAAGATAATCCACAGCTTAAGGAATTAGCTTGGCAGGAATTCCTTTACTGGGATGTAGCATAGACAAAGGTCGGAGGTAATCTGGATGAATAAGAACTTGGATGCGCCATAGCTGGAATCTAGTTTAAAATTGTTCAGATTATTTGAGAATTCCCTGAAATCGGAACTAACACACATCCTATCAGGCCCCATCCCGACACGACAGCCTTTCGATTCGCAAACAGATTATTCCTATTGGGAAGATTTACTGGATAGTTCATGGAGCTTTTATAGCGAGAATCTACTCAAAAAAAAAAAAAACAGAAGACTTGAGGAGTTTACGTTCCTGATACGTTAGAGCTAGGTGCAGTTATTTCAGTTGTGTTAGTCCCGATGTCAAGGAATTTCCAAATTCTTGAGCTACTTTCCAGCGTTCACGTAGAATACCTGAGCTGGGAATATATTCAATGTGTTTCTTCAATAGTTGTTGGGACAATGACAAATCTTTCGCTCTAGCTCGAGCCGAGCTCTCCAGCCAGGATCTAATCCAAAGGAAGCAACATATAGGAAAATTAACTTGAGTTCCATTAGGCACATATAATATTATTATTGAAATAGGGAAATAAGAAAGTTAATAGAGGAAAAGCATGAAGGAATATATAATAGATAGTTGCTGTGAGAATATGGACTAGCATAGATACTATAGACAGTTAGACAGAGTTAGTCATGGGAAGGCCGAAAAGGTGCTTTTCCGGGTTCCAATTAGATATTACGAATTGGCCAGGTGTGCGAGGCGCAGTAATATCGATAGATAGATAGGGCATATAGTATACATGTTCGTATCATAATTTACTTTAGTTCATTAGCCAGGTGTACAGCATATTTTGCTGTCATATCTGCTGAAATGCCGAACACCTGGAAACTATTAGTCATATGCTTTTTTGCAGGGTGCAAAGATTAATTTTCATTTCTGTGTTTTTCGTTTTTTTTTTACCCTTACGCAACTTTGCTATCAATGTGACGTTTTATTGTTGAATTGATTTGCGTTCACCTGGAAAAGTTGCCAAGTGCCAAAGTTTTCCTTGACCAACTCGTTTTCACTTTGAGCTTTAGTTTTCGCTCTTGCCCTTGCTTTGATCCCAGCGCAGTTCCCCTCGAACCGTCGACCTGCCCACAGATACAATCTCGTATCTTTTAATGAGACTATTAAACAAACAAAACGCCCCATGAAAGTGACGCCCCACATAAAAGCCAAACAAGTTAACAGTGCGCGAGTCGTGAGTGCCGCACTCGTAGATACCCTCTAAACAGGCCTCAAGTCCACGAAAAATAAACACATCGTTGTAATCGATATTTATCGATTTAAGAAATCTGGAATTGACTTAATCCAAACTAAGTTTGCTTGCATTCCAAATGTGTGTTATTTAGCTTTTATAGATATAGTCTAGAAAGGAATCAGGAAATCGATATTTATCGATTTGCCAGCAAACCAAAATTTACTTAATGTGGAAAATATGTTTGTCTATTGTTTAGGGTAAATGATAATCCAAATGTTATATATTGTATATTCAGCTCTTATAGATTAACTAAGGAAAGCGTCTCAGGATATCGATATTTATCGATTTGGCTAATTTACGAAATTTGGAAATTTGGAAAATAATAATCTGTTCACAATCGATTTTTATCGATTCGGCAAAGATTGAAGCTGTATGTGTTGATCTGCATTTGAAACTGTTTAATATCGATATTTATCGATTCTTAAATTTAACCTTAAATACGGTAATCAGCTTATTAGATTATTCCTAATTGATATCGATATTTATCGATTTGGAAGATACGAAAAGAACTGTAAATACATTTGATCTGCGCGAACATCCTAGTTTGACTAATTTGAGTGTCAACCAGTTTAGGCTAGCTGTGGATACCCTGCCCTATCTTCTACGTGAATAAGCACAACCTTATCAAAGTCATCTGTATCTAACTCTTATGGGGGTACAGGGTATATACAGAGGCCTCAACAGATCAAGAGTTAGACAAAGTGAAGGTTGCGGTTTTGCATAGCTCATCATCATGACTAGCGCCTGTGTGTGTGTGTGTGTGTGTGTGGTTTTGAGAGGGGGGGATTCGCCACGGCGAATTCAGTTTAGTGCAGCAGTTAACAACAGTGTTGCCATATCGCATAAACGCTTGCCCACTTATCTTTGGATTTTTATCGAAAATAATACGGTAAAAGTTCAATTAAGACTAGAGAACATCGGCTCGTGGGTGCCTGTTGGCCAGGGGGCGTGCTAAGATAGCACATTATTGTTGGTCAGGTGAGGGCGCAAACGGGTTATTTGTATTGCTCTTTCGCTTTAGTCTTAGTCTCAGTCTTTCGTCTGTTGTATTTTAATGCTGTATAATTATTATTTTTCGCCTTAATTATTTTTGCACAATGGCAAAAGCAAAACTGACAAATCATCATGTGGAGCCAAAAGGGAAACAAAAAAGTGTGCGTTGTGTGTTGGTCAACGTTTTTGAGGTCAGCTAAAAAAAACAAATCAGCAAAAACAACAACAACAACAAAATTTGGCAAGAAATTACCAATTCGCTGAGCGAAAGGTGGGCAAAGCAAAGCGTGCGCTTAACGGTTAATAGTTAAATCTCAGCTGCGTATCTGTTGGCATCAGCTGCTGTTTCCTTAGATAAGCCCAGCACCTGTCTGCCAGGCACAGCGAGAGAGAGAGAACAGAACTTTAAACTGCCTCTGGCGGCGGTTGCTTCTTTTCTCTTTTTTGAATGTTAACTTTCTTAACAACAATAGCAGTAAAGCAACGCCAACGGCTGCGTCGACGTTGACGCCAACGCAACGCAGCATGATAAGCGCGCCGAAGAAGTTAAATACACAAGCACACACACACGCACATAATCGTATGCATGCATGTGGCCACGATTCGCCGCCGTATGTGGTTGCCTGTTCGCCGCGTCGCCTCGCGTCGTCTCAGATATTGTTGATGTAGGGCCGCCGTCGCCGTCGCCGTCGCTGCCGCTGCCGCTGCTTCTGCTGCTGCTTCTGCTGCTGGCTGGACGGTGGGTCTGGCCGCAACGGCGCTTCAATTTCAAATTCAGTGCGAAAGCGAACGACAAAGCAGACGGGCAGCCAGTGAGCGAGCGAGAGCGAGCGAGAGAGCGCTTTTCAAGCAGCAGCAGCAGCGGTGGCCGCTTTTCCACATTTTGTGTTTTTATTCTTTTCAAATACATAAACACAGTTTTTTTTTTTTTCAAATTTTTTTTTATATATAAATTTTTTTTCGTGTGCTCGGCTTGTATTTTGTTTGCCGTTACCAGCTATCGCGCGCGCACACACACGACAACAATAAAGTTTATCAACAAATGAAAAGTCCATTTTAGTGTAAATGTTTATAAATTGCGGCGAATTAGTTTGGCGTTAACAACAACAACCACAACAACATACAGCACAGCGAAAGACGCGCAAAACAAACTAACAACAGCCTCGATCAAACATATTTCGCAAAAGAACGGTTAGCGGTAAACGGAGCCGCCATAGACATTTACGTACGTAGCCGGGAGTACGGCCAAGTGACATCATAAAGCAAAAAGTGACGGAAATGTTGTTGGCTGTGTGTCGTGGCCAAAAATAAATGCAAAAAAAAAAATAAAAAACAAAAAACCAAATTAAATAAGAAAAGAATTGTACTCCACAGCAGCAGCAGCAGCAACAACAACAACAACAACAACAACAACAAAAGCAGCAGCGAAAACAACAACTAGCGGTAAAAGCAAATACACGCGCACAGCAAAGAGCTGCTGGCCAGACCAAAACAACAACACGTACGGCGCGTAGTGAGAGAGTGTGAGAGGAGAATGAGAGAGAGAGAGAGAGAGTGAGGGGTAGAGTGAGAGAGTGTTGTCAAATGCCGGGCGGCTGCTGCGTGGCGCCATCTATTGTTTGACAGGGGCATAAGCAAACACACACACAAACACTAACACACACACACACACATGCGTAGGCAAACAGCTGATGGCAGAAAGAGAGCGCGCATCTGCAGTACGATTACGCAAAAGAAAGCCTTGTTTATTGTACTATATATGTACATATGTATATAGTATATATATTTATTATCTAAATCTATGATAATCATGATTGAAGTTCGAATAATTATCAGTTGGCACTCGAGCTCGCCTCTTTGTTAACGATATTTCATGCATATAAATAACTTTTAACAGAGCTGCTAACCATATACAAATTAGCAGATACTGTTAAATTAATTTCGTTCTTAATTAAGAGATCTACGATAATGCCGGCTCTCACATTAGAGCTGTAAGCTTTATGGCTGTTAACTGTTAACATCTACAGATGACAGACGTTGAATACCCTCGCAGACAGATTAGTTGGGGCTTACATTGACTAGTCGAGATTGAGATTGAGCTACTTATATGACATATGATATATGTTAAATGGTTACCAGATATATGATACTATATAATATATTATAAGACGATCGTAATTGAAAATAGTGAGAGCAAATAGATCGAAATACGAAACTTTTAAGTAGAAGAAAAGAGCTTCGATATTTAAAAGAATTGTTTTTTTTATTTTTGACTTTGCAGTTCGGTGAAAGGTGAACCAAGTTTAGGTTTATTAGGGTTTGATTTGTAGTTCAAAAACAGATGCTAATAATTGCGGTTCATAACCGATCATAACCGGTCATAACCGTTGCGGCTTCAACCCGCTTTGCCGCCTTGCAGGCAAGAGTCGGTTGACACACACGGACGTGTCTCACGCATGAAGCGGCGGCTGCCAATTGCACGCCTGCTGCAGGCTAGCTTTCGAAAACTCACCAATACACATGCAGGCGTTCAATATCGCATGTGTATGTGTGTGTGTGTGCGAGTGAGTGTGTGATAGTTTATCGACCTCCCGTTGCTTGGAGCTGCTCGCATTCTGCTCCGCTGCGGCGCAAGCGGGCAATGTCAACGCGACGGCATAAAAATAACTTTGGCTCTGCCCTTCTTTCTGCAGACAGAGAGAGAGAGAGAGAGAGCGAGAGAGAGAGGGAGAGCTGATCGAGAAGATGTTGTTGTTGATAGTGAAAACACGCAAAGGCTGCCAACTAGAACAATAATAATAAAAGAAAAAAGAGAGAAAGAAAGAACATTGTGAAACAATAAGCTAAAAAGAAGGAACTCAGACAATGGCCACAATCAGCGAGGAGGTCAACGATGGCGATGGGAACGTCGAGTCATCATCGACGGAGCAGCTAAAGGCCAAAAAGAACAAATCCAATTTGTTTCTCATCAAATCCTACAGCTTCATTGAGAAGCCAACCAGCAACAACAACAACAACAACAATAATAATAATATACATAATAATAATAATAATAATATAAACAAAGCGTTGGATGAGCGGCTGAAACCATTTCCGGACCTCACCTCGCTGATGCTGGTCGCCGGCGAGCAGCCCGTGAAGAAGGCGCGCCTCAAGAAGCCCAACAATAAACAAAAGCCAGCAAAGACGAAGACGAAGTCGAAACGTGGCCAGGCGCTGGAGGAGCAGCTCATCGGCTCGGAGCTGATCAGTGAGCAGGAGGCGCAGCTGCTGCGCCGCACTCCGCACGAGTTTGTGCAGCTGCCGGCGGCACATGGCCAGCTGCCACGCCCACATTCGTTGCCAGCCAAGGCCAATGAGACGCTGTGCCTGGCAGCGCAGCCGGCGAAGCGTCGCGGCGGCAACATCAAACGCGAGTCCTTTCTGCGTCAGAGCCTGCAGTCGATACGCCGCAGCTTTGGCTCCAATAAGCACGCGTCAAAGTTATCGATAGCCACGCCCACAGCGACAGCATCGAACTCGCCGGGCTCGTCGAACGCCTCGTCCACGTCGACAACATCGTCGTGCTCCTCGGCGACCGCCATCAGCATGTTGAGCAGAGCCCAGGCGCACAGTCATCTCCTAGATGAGTTCCTGCCCACGCCCTTTGTCCTGCTGCTCAACAATGATGCGTTGGGTGACCAGAAACAGTATTTCAACCAGGCTGTGGATATGTGCGAAGGCACGCTCCGGGCTAACAGGTAAGAAGGGAGGGAGGGATAAACTCTCAGTTGTGGAAAAACTTTAATGAGCTTTCAAAGCTTGCAAATACTTGGAAGTGCTTTTAAAGCTTTAATTTCAACTAAACTGAAACTGAAAGTGTTTCAAATCTTTATATGTAAAAGCTTTTATAAAAGCTCGTCAATATTCTTCCTTTAGAGCTTCAAAGTTTCTGGTTGCTTGATTAAATTAAATTAATTTTCATTAATTTTGTATGCTCTTAGAGCTTTCATGTGCTTTCAAGCTACGCAATCGCCAACTTGTATCTGACGGGAGTTTTAATGAGCTTTTCAGCCTGCAAATTGACTTGAGCGACCCTCGTTTTTCGTATGTATACGCCCCCCTGCTTATTGCCTGGTACTGCTGTGCAGCCTTATCCATTGTTGTGGGCATTGATTTTTGCACATGTACAGCCAGAAAAGTCAAGGCCAAACTTTTCAACCTGCTGCAGCAAATCAGACCGGATGTGCCCCCTACTTTTGACTAGAAATCAAGACTTGGCCCTTATAATAGCTAAGCTGAGCACATTTTGAGAATTGATAGCCAGTGTCAGGCATCGATTTGCATTCATTATAACCCACACCCAGTGCAATAATGTGGATAATAGGGTATTTCGGTTCTGTGCAAATGCATGTAACAGGCAGAGGGATGCAAATAATATATATTCTTGATCTGGGACAACAAACTGAGTCGGCCAAGACCGAAAGCTTTAAGCGCTAGAAGTTTTATATTTCAAATATATATACGTAAATCTATTAAATAACAATATCGAATTTTCGATAAATATCGATTTTAAGTCAAACATTTGTAGAACTCTCTCGAAGACTTTCACAGCTAGAGACTATCGAACTATCGATAATTATCGATATTGAGGGAAGTATTTTTTTCGCCATATCTTAAAGAGTTTAGGTATAAGATTTAAATATCGATAAATATCGACTTTAAAGCATTATTATTTGATTAACATAGATAAATATCGATCCTAAAGCTATACTTCTTTTTAGCAATATCTCGAAGACTCTCGTTTGGTATAGGCAGAAGCTGAGTTACAGGGTATCGTGCAGCCAGGCACACTCACTTTTACTTTGCCAGTTCTGATCGATTTGCGATAAAAGACGACAGCGACAAATTGAGAGCTCTTCAACTTCCGATTTGCATGCGTCGAGTGTTCGCCATGGACGATCGATCGATTGACAGATTGACGGACTGATGGACTGACGGACTGATTGATCGATAGATAGATAAATAGAATTACGCAAAGCCAACAACTTAATGCCACAGACAAACTTGGGCTGCGCAACGTATTTGGCATCTGGGCTGCAATTGTCGTTGCCAAAGTTGAGACTCG